GATTAATGCAAATGGTTCATTAACCTTTGCCTATTATAACTTCTTTTTCGGTTCTCCATCGTAATGCAATCTATTTGTGAATCATTGTTAAGTACATTTTCTAAGTGGAAAAAAGAGTGTGGAAAAAAATTGAAGTTTAATATTTACCTTGCCCTCTTTATAATATTTTAATTCTGCTATGCAATATTCTTTAAACAATTTATCATAATACTTTTTGGCAAGCCGTTGCTCCCAGGTTAATTCCGATTCATCTTCTTCAGAACGAAGAAATCTATAAAAAGTTAATCATTTAAATCGTGTTGCCTATGCTTGCCACCCAAATTCCAAAATACTATAATTTGATAATCTTAAATAGTATATATTCTTATAATTATAGATAATAAATTTGCAAAATATTAAGATTACTTGTTTGATTTAATTTTTTATAAATAGCAATTGTTTTTTTGGAATTTGGGATTTGTCCGGCAAGTATACTGTAATGTTATTAAAAACTTAAGAATTAACAATTATAAATTTAATTACTTATGATTCTCTTTCAATATATCAAATTCACTTTTGTATTGCTTCTCTGCATTAGAATTAGTTCCCTGATTGTTCTTTCGACCATAAAAGTTAACATAATCGTTCATAAACTTTTTATGGCGGGAGTACTTTAAAAGTAAGACGAGTTGAGTAAACTTTCCGTAAATTCATAAATAAAAATAAAAAAAATTGAGTATCTTACTGCATCCAAGCCTTTCAAATTGTTTGCAAATAAACTTTTAGAGTATTCATTCTGTTGCTGAGAGTCCGCCATTCTTGATTAACTTATTAGGTTACGTTACGTTATTGATTGAATATTAAGTGCTGGGGAAGATCGTCTGATAGGCTAATCGTAATGCTAGGGGTTGATCCAACCTCGATTTAGTATCCTGATCTTAATAATGGGACCCAGGCCTAAATACCCGGGTGAAAATCACAGGAATTCCATTAATTGTGAGCAGAATGTGTATGTTGTAAAAAGAATTATATAACTTAATTTCAACACATTGCAATCGTGATGATCTATACGTACAAATTTCTTGTTTTTTCAAAAATTTGCACAAGAAACCTCTATTTGTGCTCAACAAAAAGTTTTATATCACCAAATTCTATTATATAACAAAAAAAGATTTTTTCGGCATTACGTGAACATGAACTTTGTTGCTTAGTAAGATTTCTGTTAAACATTCATTTAACCAAAAATATTTCTGTTGTTTTGTGATGTATTATCAAAAAAAAAAAAAATAAATAACAAAATATTTTGAATAAAGTAGTACGATTCTGCAATGGAAATCTTGCGTAGAATTTTATTCTTTCCATGTTAGAGAGTAAATAGAATTAGTTTTGAGCACGAAGGCTAATTCATCATTAATATGAGTACTGTATCAACCTCATTATCAATATTTTTCACGAAATAAAATTCTCACTATAAATGAAATCTTCTAATACCAGTCCAATTTTGACTTCAACCCGATTTTCGCGAGGTTGATATTGGTGAAGGAAAATTATATATAAAATTTGATCCTAAAAACCATCGATGGGGAGTTTATGCAGAGCTTATCTATTTTAATACGTGCGTATGCGCGTATTCGTAATCAATAGTTGCATAAAAATGTAGCAAAATTTGTATAAAAGGATGAAATGTTAGTAAGTCATAGATTCCTTTTCGTTAGTATCGAAACGGTGGAAAGTTACAGTACAACCAAATAAAATAATAAAGTAAACTTGTATCTATAATATGATGTAAGTAAGAAGAAAATCAAAGTTTGATCTAGAATAGGCCTATTTATTAACCTAATATTTCATTCGTATAAATTGGCATTAGAGAGCAACAAAATAAATAATGTAATGCATTTACGAATTACAAAACACTGTTAAAATTACAATAAAACATTATGATAATAAGAATTCTCTAAAAATTCTGATTGACAACCTTTCTTAAGAGCCAAGTCAATGGTGGTTATTGTAGATCCAAACCTTTACATTCAATATCCACAAACCAACTAGTCAAGTCGAAAGTTCAACCACTATGAAATGTGAAATGTGTTATCAAAACTAGAAGGAACAATAGGCTATACAAGAAGGTAAACCTGCTCAAGAAAAAGGAAAATAAAAGTAGGCAAATCTCTTTTCTGTCATTGAAAAAGAACTAAAAAAGAACATATCGGCGGATTTGCGGAGTTGGTTCCTGGATTTAACAATTACAGAATGCATAATAGCTGAAAATTTGTATATGTTTTATAATCACATTGTTAAAATTTATAGATCCTAATTTAGGTTCAATTCCGCAAATTCGCCGATATGTATAATAATTTCATCGAGCACATGAAAACTTTATGATGTACGAGATGAAGCTACAGAAGATTTACTCAAGGCTACTAAATCAAGGTTGCCGCAAATCTAAATTCGAAGCGAAATATCTTTCTAAAAAAATCAATTAAAATAACGATCTTATCTAGGCATTCTGGTAATTTCCTCTGCAAGAACAAAGCCACTGAAGTATTATTACTAATGAATTGTTTTGATGAATTTTACCATCCCTTCGACAGCCATTTCTCAGGCAGCCTATTTCGCTGATAGTTTAGTCCGAATTAAAATTAGTGTTTGCTAATTTTTAATTAATTGTCGTTGTAATGGCTGTTGCCAGAACCGTAAATGCACTATGACAAACTTCAGGGTAAATATGACATCATCTGTGTAAATGCTATAAGGGTTCGCGTGTTATCGTTATACGTAATTGATTACCAAGCAATCCTGCTGATTTGGTCAGTTTCCTGAAATGGTAATTAGAATTATCGAATACGGAGCAAGGTCTTTTTCGATTTTTAACAGCTGCTCTAGGTACGTCGAGTATAACCCAAGTTTGCATAAGGAGAGAATTTTCCTGCATTGCGAATACAAAGTAAATTTCCAATTATATTTTATAATTGGATCTTGTATTTGCAATGCACTTTCGAAAAGACCTCCACTCAATACGGTATGTTTTTGTACCGGCCGAAAATTATATTATCGAAAACTACACTCTTTATTATCAATGATCATCACAAAATTCACAATGTGTACTACTAATTTTTAGAAGCATGGATCCTCGGAGGGCTTATATATCGATATTTCTTTACACATGAAAGCTCACTGCGCATTACCTGGCAATCGGATTCTATCGCTATATGCTATTATACAACATATCAATCATAACCAATTAACGTTAAATACTTATTAAATCTTTAAGTAATCTCCGTTGTTACACGGCAGGAAGAATTTGAAACAATTTTCTTGATTAGTCATAATTGATTTATAAAAGGTAATGCTAAAATCCGATTCATACTTTCACCCTCAACTTTCAAAAAAAAACAAAAAAAAAAAATGACGAAACTACAAACAATCCCGTCTTTTACTCAATTATCTGCAAGAGTTGTGCGTATCCTTGGTGAAAACCCGGGGAAGTTTACATTACAAGGTTCATTTTGTTTACAAAAAAAATTCTTTCATATTGTGATTTTAGACGTAACAATTTTTTTTTTTCATCCAGGTACAAACACATACCTAATCGGTACGGGTTCTCGGAAAATTCTTCTCGATACCGGAGAAGGAAAACCGAAATATCTTCAAACACTAACTGAATCACTCAAAAAGCTGGGCGAAGATGTAATCATCACAGATATATTGATAACTCATTGGCATACAGACCACGTTGGGGGTATAGACAGCATTCTTCAATATACAAAAGAAAATAATCTGCCCACTCCGGTTGTTCATAAACGATTGAATCCAAAAAGGGATAAACCTCATCTCACATTTCAAGCTATAGAAGACAATCAAATTTATCAAACAGATGGTGCAAATCTTCGTGCAATTTTTACTCCAGGGCATAGTGAAGATCATGTCGCATTTTATTTGGAAGAAGAAAATGCATTGTTTACAGGTGATGCTGTATTAGGTGTAGGAACAACAGTTTTTGAAAGTCTCAATGAATATATGACCTCTTTGCAAAAAATGAAAGAATTAACACCAGGTCGAGTATATCCTGGTCATGGACCAATAGTTGAAGATGGTATGGCCAAATTGGAAGAATATATTAACCACCGCCTACAACGTGATCAAGAAATACTTGCAGTACTTCAAAAATCTAACAACCCTTTAACCTCTATGCAAATTGTAGAAGTATTATATGCAGCATATCCTCATGAACTTTGGAAAGCTGCAGAAAGAAGCATAATATTACATTTAAT